TCTTCAGAATCCAAGAATTTAAATTCAGTTTTAACCCAATCAGGTGGCTTGTCGTTTTTGCATTTGAATTTATAATTCAAAAGTGACTTTTAAAATATGCTCCATAACTTATAGAAAACACCAACGATAGTACCTTTTAAAAACCCCACAACCGCAAGCTCTTTTACTGTGAACTAATTTACAATTTAGCGATTCCACCTATTTGCTTACAGACGATACTTTTATAAAATTCTAGCTATAACTGGCTGACGGAGAACACCTTCAACTGAACGTACATATCATATTTTATTTGGTTGTTAGAATTAGCCGGTCTTATCCGGCGAGACGTTAATAAAAAATATTAATATTTAACATGAACGAATAACAAATAAGTTTCGAGGAATCAGTTGGCACTGGTTTTGTACAAGAGGCATACCGCCGAAACGTTCTAATGCAAAAATCACGAAAAATCGTGTAGCAATATTTATATAACGTTTATATGAACGTTGTGTGGCAGGGACGTTATCTTATTGTGTGCCGCGACGCACGCAAGCCGCTAGAATGGGGGTCAATTGGACCGAAAAGTTCACAAAAAACTTAATTGACAATAATCAAGATGTATTGGGTGGATGTTTGACGATTTGCGTCAACATTTGTATTAACGTCATTGGACTCGTTAGTTGCTACCTAATTGTGCAAGTCTATGAAGGTCAAAAATAAATCAACTGCGTAGGTACGAGTATATAGGATAACAAGCTGTATAACTAAGGCGAGATAGACTCAGTACATGTTCCGCATTTCTATTTTTGCGGGGGCAACTTGACCTCAAGTTGAAGTCTTAGTTTTCGCACTCAATGTCATTTATTTGGAAGTGATTGATGAGGAATTTCCATTCACTTTTATAAAACACCGCGCCCATTTTTCGTGCAGGCTATGTCTTTGTTACAAGAATTCAAAAAATATTTATCTTGTATCGTCTATTTAAGTATTTATTTTCTAAAAGTCAACGTAACAATGTAATTTTCTCATTAAATTATTGCAATTAAGTAAAGTTAAAGTAATTAATAAGTATTTTCCGACAATTTGCTCCTTTGTTTCTTTCATGCAATAAAAATAAATTCTGTAGAAATTCATCCGGGTGGTTTTGCCTTGCTATAAAAATGTTTTGAAAAAAAAAATTACATAATTACTGGTTGCAAGAGGCGACTGAATGGAATGCTCGGTAAACCTTGAGATTTCCGCTAAACGAGGGAAATAACCTCTCAAATAAGGCATACAGTAAATACTAAATACCCAATGACGTACACAACAGCAAGTTATAGGAAAATTAGAATGCCTCCGTTCAGCTATGCCTTATTCCAAACATATTTTTATGTCCCTAGAAATAATTTCTGAATAAAATATTGAGATTTACATAAGAAAGATTAATTTTTCACTTAACGAAGAACTTAAGCGAAAGTCCATATTTCAAATGATTCCAGGAGAAAAGTTATGGTAAAAAAATCTTATAAAGACGCAGTTACTAACTCTCGCCCGCGACTCCGTCCAATGCATTATTCTGCATACCAAATTTCATCGAGATCCGTTCAGCCGTTCTGGAGATACCTTCAAACAACCATCTATCCATCTAAACATTCGCATTTATATTGTAAGATTAGTAAGATTACAAAATATATTAGATTACTATATTCTCGAGTATTCCACTGATTTAACAAAGTATTAGCAATTCATTTTATTTCAACGCGTGTTATGTATTTTCATATATTTTCCATAAGAACACCATTAATATTGTATCCTTGCATACCTAACATTGCACAATTATTTTATTGTGTAAGCATCTTCTGGCAAATAAATTAAAAAAGTGTTCAAAGTAATGTTCTCAGTACTGATAAAATTTATTTATGAAGTATAATTACAAATGAAAGGACTACGCTGAAAGGATTGTAACATAAACATATTCCTATATCATCTTTCTTATTTCTTTATCGTTGTTCTAAAATTAACAAAATGGAATTTTTCTTTTAAAAAATTGTCGATGACAAAATCTTTTAAAATAAATTATGACAATGACGTTAGGTTCTGAAAACCCTAATCGGTGCTAACCAAGTCTACACGTTTGGATGGTACTAATGAAAAAAATGTTTTTTACTACGAACTCCAGTCGCCATATGACCTCCAAGTACCACACTAACAAGCATATACTCACACATACAAAGAACGAAGGCGTGTTCTTGTACGTGCACAGAACTGGTTGTAAATACAGTAAAAGCAACACATACACAAATTACACATGTGTGCGTGCAAGAATGCGATTCATATGAAAAGGCGCCAGCGGTGCACACGTACCCGGTCACCTGACCGTCTCGACTTGATTCTTGAAAACGAAACGTTATTACTTTCAGCTGTCGTTAAATGAACCTTATTGTTAAGGTTTTAAGACTAAATTAAAAAATGATATATTAATTTTAGCTAATTTAGTTCTCGGTCAGAAATGAAGAATTGGGTTTGTTGACATAGCATCAAATTGAAAAGTCTGTGAAGAGAAGATACGCAAAGTAAGTGTTCCATGGATGCAAACACTCAATTTTTATAAGCGAACCATCTACGAATTCGCCTTTTATAGTTTATAGAATATAACTATTATAGAATGACAGGGCGGCACGGCAAGGAGGGAGGGTTTCAATTAATATTTAGAGGGGCAAGGAAAATCAATACCTTTCGTACACATTTCCAAGGTCAACCCTATTTGAATCCAGTTTCTAACAATAAAAACCTAGGACCATTTTTATATACCAAAATATAATTTTTCAAAAATGACAACTTAATTTTAAACGAAAAGTATTACTGTATTGAGGAAAATACAGAGATAAGCAGAAAGGAGAAAAATAAATTTCTTTGACCCCGACGTGATTTGAACACGCAACCTTCTGATCTGGAGTCAGACGCGCTACCGTTGCGCCACGGAGTCGTTGTTGAAGTAGCTCTAATTTTAGCTACGAATACAAATTACAAAATTTAAGTACATATTTTTGAAGATAAATAATAAATACATATAACATAAAGAAATGAAAATTTACACTGAAATAATATTCTCTGTTACTTCATATTTTATAACACATATATAATTCAGCGCCCTCTAAGATTAGAAAGAAAAACTAAGCTGTAGTAAGTCAAACAATTTTTAACATAGATGGCATATTGAATAATTTTTATGGATTATTTGCTATGGAAATAATTCTAATTGTTTTGATAACTTTTGCAAAAAATTATCAAATGAAAATGAATTTTACAAATTAAAAAAAAATATTACAATTTATGTTATCAGTGAATTTATTATGAATGTCGGAAATATATCTTTAGATAGCATTTTTACTTTTTGAATTGTTATTCGTATGTAATGATTAGATTATATTATAATAAAATTTAAATTTGATTTTCTAAAAATATTTTAAGAAAAAGAATAACAGCAAAAATAAAAAAGTCGTCACAGCCCCTGTGGCCTAATGGATAAGGCATCGGCCTCCTAAGCCGGGGATTGTGGGTTCGAGTCCCACCAGGGGTACATTAAAGTTATTTTTTTCTTGGACTTGGATGGTTCTTTTCGCTTTTATTTATATTTTGTTCAAATATTTTTAAAACAAAATACAATAAAATATCAGGGAAGAGAAGGATCCAAACCTCCCTAACTAAAGCACACTATAAACAAATAATTATTTAAAATGAACAAAATTTGTGTCATTAGAGTAAAAATTAATATGGTCGTCATTTTATATATAGAAAAAAGCAGTAGCTACTGCTATAGAACGTCAGAAATTAGTATCAATAGTTCTCTATAATACAAAAACATATAGGGACATTCAATATCAACATATTTCTTACTTTGCTCATCTGCAATTGGTGTAATGTTATCTCGGAATATTAGTTTTTCATTCAATGATCTACATTGTCTTACTTAAAGAGTTTGTTTATCGCAAATTCGTTTTGGACGGGCAATCATTACACCATTTCGATAACATTATCGTTTGTATAAAGGCCGCAAAAAAAAACATGAAATCTTTGACCTACATATTATTGAAGACTGCTATACTTTTTTAAAAGCCTTTCTTATTTTTTCGCATTTTATCTTGTCGGAAAGTACATTTTACTGATAAACAAAAAAGTCGGATTATTTATAATTGCATTTATTGATTCAAATTCAATATTGGGATCACAAGAGAAAGTTAATGGGTTTTCAAAATGTGGCGCCGGCGCCGAGCCTGAGTTAAGGCAGGCAGCTGAGACCTGAATATTCGACATAATCCACTTGGTTGGTTGGTTGGACACAGCCAATTGAAATATAATCAAATTGATTGTTTGTTTTGTTTAATTATTAAATTGTTTGCAAGTTATCAATGTACTCAACTGAAAATATTTATTGATGTTACGAATAATATAAACTTTGAGTTGACTATAAATCCTATTTTCTAGACTTTCGAGACTTGCTCGTGGCATTCTTGTACTAGTAGACTGATGTAAATAGAACACGCGACTCTATACAAAGAGCGCCCTTACGTATTAACCTTAAATAGAATAATGACTAATAACTGCTTTAATATAGTTTTAATGTGCTATGTTATATATTTCTTAATTTCAGCACTGTCGTCAACGGCGCCGTGGCTTAGTTGGTTAAAGCGCCTGTCTAGTAAACAGGAGATCGGGGGTTCGAATCCCCCCGGGGCCTAGGTTGATTCCATTAAGTTTTTTACATTTTTTTTAACTTTGTATCCATTGAAGTGCAGGGTTTCTCTTTATGATTTATCGGAGCAAATTACACTGCGCCCTTTTTGAAATCATTGGTGGTTGTGTTGGGAGAATTTTTTTTTAATAAGTACGATACATTAAAATTTTGTAGTGAAATCTTGGATTAATTAATAGTTCTAGTGATCTGTAGTAACATAGTTATCATGGCAACAGCACAGCAGGACATTGTTGCTATTTCTTTTTAATAGAATTTAATACTGATTTCGCAAAGTACATTTTATTGTAAACAACTATAAGGCAGATTAATTTTTTATTATAATTGCATTTAATTCAAATACAATATTAATATAACGAGAGAAAGTCCTAAATTAACCTTCCAATGGTTCGAGGGCGCCGCGCCAGACCCAAGTAGAGGCAGACAGCGGAGACCTGAATGTTGGATGTAGTAATCCACTTGATTTGGGGTACGGCAGTCCGCATCTGAAACATACAAATTGAGAAATTGAATTCCAAATGTGCAAGTACATAATTTCACAAATTCAATATAACTAAACAAAGATTTTTTTATCAAAAATTTTATCTAGGAATTAAATTCGCTTCGTATGGCAATTTTTACACTGTGCGTCAAGACATTAGACCTAAATAAACGTCCTCGATTTTATATGCAAAGGAATCTCATCGTTTGATTATAATTAACAAACACATATGCAATAAACTTACGCGCACAAGCATTCAATGTGGTTGTTGCAGTTACAACAAAATGTGCAGGCGGGCAGAAGTCCGGTGAAGGGCAGGGAGCGGTGAGGTTAAATGTGTGTATATTACGTTCACCAATCAATTGACAGCTTTGTGTCGCCTCCGCGCCTCGGAACATGCACACCAATATCGTCCCATAGTTTGAGTTGCGAAACTAAAAAAAAAATACAATTATTATGACACTACGACAAGTTAAATTAAATTTTGAAGAAATGTGTAATAATTATGTTATTCATAACAAAAGTATTATATGTAAACAATAGTTCTATAATTTTAACATTTTTTGTTGAATACGATAATATTTATTTGAAGTAGAATAAAATATTTTTCTTTCGTTATATGCGTGTTTATTTCTAATTGATGATCAAAGATGGCGCTGTTACCTGTACTCTTATAAGTGGTTGTTGTCTCAAGTAAAACGGATGAATTCGATATCCTCGCTTCGTTTTTGCCATGACTGAGTCTTCATACTCAATTTGATAAAAAGTCGTGCCATTACTCGGACATGCAGCACCAAATATCCTCTTCGGGATATCATTTTTGATCATAAAAGTATTAATGGCAGAAGCAACATCTTGTACGCATGTCGAGGGTAACTAAACAGAATTGTTCAATTCATAACTCATTTTCCAATTTTATTTAAAAAGCGGGAAGAAGAGAGAAACATAGAACAGAATTTAGTACAGGTTTTTAGAAGAGTTTAGTCAAAATTCGGTATTGGGTATAAATCTGAATTTCTGAACAGCTTTGACACATTTCTGTTATTTCATCTATAATAAATATTTACACCTATGGCTTTTATTCCCCTATAAGATGATTTTCGCTATCATTTTTAATATAATACAAACATACCGTAATAAACATTTCCGAATAATCCAAATATTCATTGTTGATGTTCTGGAAATTGGTCAAGTCTTGGGCGGCGTAGGCGAAATACGCATCGAAAAAGGAAGATCTGATGGAATGCATTATAGTTCTAGAACGTTCTATTTCATTACCGGAGGGCTGGTCCGTGGGACTCAGTATTAGAATCACAGTACTACGCCCAGCGCTAGCTTTGGCGTTTATATCTTGTAGAGTTTGATTTCGCAAATGTTGATTCACAGTTGTTAATACGTTCGGTACATTTAGACGATTGGGCCCTTAGAAAAAAAAAACAAATTGTTCAAATGCAAACCTCACACGTTGAAATACATGTGTACTAAACGACTATATTATAGGAATTCTCAAAATAGCAATTTCTTACTTTTTTAGTTTCGATTTGGATTTATAAAAATGTCACCTACATCTGGCAGCAGCCATCTTGGGTTTAATCATAGTGTATTCTGGTTTTTTATTAGTTAAACACTGTCGTTTGATACCAATATTGAGAGGGTTGTTAAAAAGGTCTGACTCACATGGGTCAGTATAGTTAGCAATGTGTGTGAAGAGAGCGGTGATGTTGTGGGCAGGCGGCGCCACCCAGCGGCCAGTGTTACCGTGCACCACACCCAGCGTGCTCCGTGACGCGTCCAACTCCAGCGCACCACTCATCCAACTGCACAAATAAACTTTCTTGCTTAAAATATCTACATAATCATCTACTGTAGACCCATCTTCATAAAAATAACAAGAATTGTTTCATAAATTAATTATCTGCCAAAAATACTCACGATAGGAATTGTTCAACATCATATTCTCGCCAGGAGCTGTCTGTAGCCACTATAAGGTCCACCACGGGCACGCTGTCGACTGACACGCAGTTGCGTTGATATTTCCTTAATACTGACGCTGAGAACAGTAAGCTTAATATTATAATTTTACAATATCTTGCTAGACTAAGAAGAAGAGTCATCTTTTGCCTTTTTTCAAAGTACAGTACACTTACGAACATACTCTATAAACGCAGTCACGGCTGCATCGCTCATCCTTTGCATTTCTTCTAATGGTATGTACACAGTATTCTGCGTAAGAGACAAGACCTGCGCGAACCTTAGGGTCTCTGAGGCCAGTATCGTATTATTTAACACCCTGTTGTACAGTGCAAGTCGATTGCAAGCGCGCACTTCCGGCCCGAAAGACACGCCGTCGTTCGAGTAGTAACTGTCTAATACTTGGGATAACCTAAACGAACGTCGCAATTCTATCCATGAAGGTACATAACTGGCTAGAATTAATCCTAAAACATAAAAAAAAATATTTTACATGGTTAGATCATATGAGAAACGATGTAATTATTGCCCTAAGGATCTCCGAGCGACAAGACAATGGACCTCTTGTTCCACGTAAATGCATGAAATCGTTCTAGACATATGTATGATCCTCATTTTTACGTTTTTGGTTCCATACTGCTTTTCTACCGTCTAAAAAAAAGTAATTAAAAATAGATTTCGAAATACCGTCGACGCCTGCTAAAATTTCAGCGTCAGTAAACTGCCAGTCGTTGCTATTTTGCGGCAGCAGGTAAAAGTCGCGCGGCAGGAGCGTGTCGTTCCACCGGTTGTTGCTGCCCACTGTCATAAGCTGCGCGGACGCTCCTACACGAGGCCCCTGGTTTACGACTACTTCTGCTAAATCTCCTACAAATAATAAGCCAATCGCATTATATTGATAATAATCACAACACTACGTGTGGGGAACGCCCATTCCTATTTTTATGCATCTGTCGATAAAATAAACAAATAAATTTCGTAGTTCAAAACAAAAATCCGTACCGACGATAGTTGCCACTAATATATTGCTAATATTTAGTTCATCTGTTGCTGATGCCAGCATTTCGAAATTGGCAATATTATTATTATCATTGGGATTTTCAACTTGCTTTTCCCAGTCCGCCAAGGCTCGATCGATCATCGGCTGTGATACTTCCGATTTATAAATGTTAGCGCTAAATATATCAGTTAATGATACTCGTTGCGACTCCAAAGACGCAGCAATTGCGGCTATGATTGTACCCACAGCCACTGGCCCCCAGTCAGTTTGAATTACCCCGTCTTCTATCGGACAGCGGCTGTGAATTCTGAAATACAAAGATAAAGATCTTTGTTTTGTAGTGTTATTAATAAGTAAAAACGCTGCTGCGTATCTTTCATAAATATTAGTTATACTAACCTGCCAGAGCTATCCGTCGACATATTTTCCCTCTGTTGCGCAGACAGTGGGCACGTGAGGTTCTCGTCTCCTCTCTCCCAAGGCTGCACCGTAGAACTCAACAACTTGTGCAGCAAACATCTTTCCACTAATGTAAGACTCTCATCCATCTCTAGAAGATTCTGACTAGGTAGAAATAGATCCATGAGCAGCTTGTATTTGTGGAATTGGAAGGCAGACGCTCGGTATGGCAGCACAAACTCCGTTTCAATGGGATTACTGGCTTGCTCTATACCATCTAATCGAAACCTACAAACATAATAAACATATTATTTTATAATAAATATTGTTCTGAGTTATAACTAAATCAGTATGAGTAGAAACCTTTCAATACTATTTACCATAGAGGATCGTTTAAAATACCCATTATTATAAACAGTAGTTATAGATGATACAGTAGGCACTAATGGAACAAATGAATATTTAAATCCATCTACCTTCTCAATAACGAAGTGCTGAACAATCTCATATCAAGTTTTGCGGAATGTTCTAATTTCCTCACAAGAGACAGGAACACGTCGAGACGGCGCGGAGAGTTCAGCAGAGGGCCGCCACTGCGGTAGCAATCCACCAAGTGCCCTGGTATACTTGATAACACTTCGGCTTTGGAAGCTTCATGCAATAAAGTTTACAATACGTTATGTTTGATTGTCAATGTCTTTTTTCCATTAACTCATTAGGTTTAACACAGTCTACTGTAAGTATAGTCAATTAAAATCCTTATAATATTTTTGACCCAAAACACTTAAAAATAAAATTGCTCTTAAAAACGGGTAGGCGTTTATTTTTAACAAATATAATACTATAAGTCTGGCATTCGTTGCGACGCTAAAGTGAAAATAAATAATCACAATAATGTTTTAATGCTACTAAAAAGTAGTTTCATTAAAGACGTAAAACAAATGCCGTCCCTCTCGTTGTTTTTGGAAAAAAACAGACAATAAGTTTTTATACAGGACAGTTAAAAACATTAAAAGCAACAGGAATTGTCTGCACATTACTTTCACAATGTAAAAAAGGATCTATTTAACGGCAAATACTCACAATACACTATTAAAACAATAAATATTAGTGACTTCATTTTTGTAATTAATCTAACTTAGACTAGCGGTGTAAAACAACGCGGCTTATGTTGTGCGTGTGGGAGTGCCTGATAGCCTACATAATGATAGATAGATAAGATAAGGAATAACAACTGAGTCATTTTGAATATATTGTTAATACTATAAGTTGTTATTGTAACTTAAAGTAAATAAGATTATTCGGTTACGTTGGAGTTAAAAAAATAAATCAGAAAATAGTTTTGGATAGGGATTTAGGAACGCAAACGCATTGATTTTTAATCTCATAGAGGTGGATAGATAACAACGGCAGACGAGTAATAAATGTTGATGTCGTTTTATTAAATCGTTAGAAATATGGATACACACAATGGATGTTTTACTGAAGTATTTGGTATGGAAATTACCTACAATTAAACAAAGAGAGTTAGAAATTAAATCATATTTATTGTTGAATTAAATTAAAATTCACAACACTAGACACAACTTAATAATATTTCTAACACACGTTAGTTATTTTTACTACATAAGGTTCAACTGGTATTCTGTGATAGCGATTTAGATTGAGAATATCTAAATAATGTAATTATTGTGTACATAACAAGTTTTATTGGAGTTCTTATAGTTATTGTGTGATACTTTATAAAAAACTATAAATTAAATTATGTCCTAAAACATTTAACAATTTGGAACTTTGGAGTTTTATTAAAGTTTATGTGAAAATTTATATTAAACCTAGTGGTATAAATATATTACAATTAATTTTATCTAAGTTACCAAGAATGAAACATATTTTTATTTACATTAAACACAAAGCAGTAATTTTTCATTTTAACATAAAAAAAACGTGAAACTTAATTTCATACAGCAGTTTAAGTTTTCGACTGCATATTTATTTTTTAATAGCAAAACGAAATGAGCAGGTACATTTAGCAAAATTATATTTGTGATATTGGTAATCTAGCATTCTAAAATAATTATATATTCTGTAAAAATCATTTATTTAAAAAAAAAATTGCGTAAAAAGTTTTTATAGCTATTTTATATTTAAAATTATACGAGAACTTAGTTTCTTCAAGCTATATGCAGTCACCACAAATAAATATAGTAGTATACAAAAAAAAAAATCACCCACACATGATGATTGTCTCATTCATTTGACATTCTTACATTTAACCTGCATTAATCATTAACTTTTAAGTTAATTTACTTTGTGCCTAAATATACTTGTCATACACAATTTAACAGTCAATTCTACGGTTCAAATTTAATATGTTTAGAGGGCTTAACTATGTACCCGGTTCCGGGATATTTTCCTATACTATATTCATATAAATGCTTTTAGTTAATGGAATAAAAACTTTTGTTCTGTAATAAATGCAAATAAGTAATTTATCGTAGAACTAATTTGGCAGGTTTCCCGTCTATCTGTCTAGATGTGCCATTCTTCAATGTAAATTCTCGTTTAATGTATGCAAACAATAGATCAGTTATAAGAAAAATTTGTGCAGTTGCAAATGACAGTGTAACTCCAAAGAAAAAGTTTGCATTTGCCGAGCCGGAGTAAATCCACAGATGCCAGACGGTGGGTCCTAGTGCTGACGTAATGATGAAAGCACAGGCAACTATAAACTTCTGTTGCATAACTGAAAAGGATAAAATTAAATTAAAACTACACATTATCAAAACCTTAATTATATCTATGCAAGGAACTTTCATCATATTTGTCTGATAAAAAACAAATTAAATTGATATTTTAGTATAGATATAAAGATATATAAGTTATTAATCTTTCATAACATAATATTGTCATCTATGATGTGTCTGTCAGCAGCAAACCTTGGTATTTCCACGTTTGAGTAGAGGTGACTAATATGTTCGAATTTAGTAGTAACAGCATAGTTAGGATCTGTCATTAGTAGAAGTACCAACATAACATGTTAGTCCACAAATTGATATAGATCTTCCCACTTTTCAATTTAGATTTTAAACGATGGATTATTTTACTAACATAATGAAACAAGATATACTTACATGTAAATAGATGTTTCCACATTGGTAATAAAGCCAAGTAGAATCCAACATCACCTACACATGGGTAAGACCGAAATATAGCTGATAAAGCTATCAACACAGTTGCTAATAGTACCGGTTCTCTCTTAAATCTGAGAGTTAGTGGTACAATGTATAAAGCCAGTGCGTTTATTTGGAATGCACAAACAAACAGGAGTCTAAAGTGTTCAAACATCTCAGTGAAGAAATACCAAAACAAGCCAATATTAGGCTTTAAATCCGGCACTGACAATCTGAAAAGGAAAACAATTTGTTAATAACATAACAATTGTTAGGTGTTAAAAGTAGCTCACTGTAGAATTTTAGTATTGTTTGTATTGGTTCTAAATTTAGTTTATTAAAAATAAAATGAATCTTACATGAATCCATAGGTATTATAGACATATTTATAGGATCCATCCATTATGAATGCAGATATGAAGATTAAAAAGCCCCAACAAAGTACAAACACCAACAAGGTTCTAATGTATGAGCATTTATTACATCCTTTGTTGATATCCGCCAATAGTATGGCTATAGGAACTATCAGCAGAACAGGGTACAATGCTTGATGAGTGGCAAGAGCGATGAAAGTACAAGCCAAGATTCTATGCCCACTTGTAGCACTCCATAGTGATGCCGCTACCAACAAATTCTGAATAACCGTGGTCGTCATTCCAGCACAGTTCAGAACAGAGTAAGGGTTAAAAAGGTAAACTGACAAAACATAGTCAGGAGCTTCATCTAATCGCGAATTACTTAAAAGCATTGTTTTCGAATCTTCGTTAACTTCATCTTTCATTTTGTCCTGTGCATTCTTAAACAACGCTGCGAATGATTTTGAAGTCTTGTATAAAAGATGAGCTGTGATCAGGTCAAAAATTGTAAACAGAAGGGGCAAAATGTAAGGAAATTTCTTCATGAAAAAATGAAAGAAAATCAGCATCAATGGAGATTCGTGGAACGAGTCGCCTTCATATGGATTTATATTATTATCATAAAGATAAACACCCTCGATTAACCTCTTCCAGGAGTTTAAAGGTGTAGCAATTTCTACCCTATTAGCTATTATCTGCCAATAATCCATGTGAATTAGCCAGTATCTTGCTAAGCCGGCAATAACATATTTTAGCATTAGACCCATTATTAATACTAAATACTTTTGAGGTTCACACAAATCACATCACAAAAGCATATTAAAATTCAAAATTATTTTCCCAATCCAATCCAATCCAATCAAAATCAAATCAACACCAACCAAATGTCAAATCCAAACTTTAGAAACACAGATAAACTACACATAACTTATTCGATATTTGATAAAACTAAAATCGATTCGTCTTAAAATATTTCAAATAAAATAATATAAAAAGTTTATTGGCCTTTTAAAACTTTAAAATTTACCACCGCAAATTATAATTATAGTAATATTCTATTTCTTTTCAAATCAGTGTGTTCAATTTTCGTATCTCTTTAACTCCGATTGCTCTGTTTTCAGGTGTATTAGAGAATTTGTAAAGGCTATCTTGAATTGCGTATTACAATAAAATCGAACATTTTAGACTTTTTTCATCGAACAGTATAAAGTTTTATCGAGCATAGTGGCGAGTTAAGAGTAGAAGTCAAAGAAGGAACAAACGAACTGTTGGAATCTAATCACTTATAATAGGCAAGGAATGAGTAATAAACTAAAATAAAACAAACCTCCATCTTTTATTATGTGAATACCGTAATTCATTTTTAACTTATAAATACTTATCCGCTAAAATTAACTTAATTACAAAAATAAAATAAGCTGTAGGTAGTTGTTGTACAATATTTAAAAACATTTTGATATAATATGTCGTGATGTCTGAATTACAATTCTTCATTTAATGCATAATAATCACACTACAGAATAGTCCTTTGATCTTTTATTGTTAAATTTAAAAAAGAATTAAAAATTTATGGAGATATAAATCATACCCTAAAACCATTAAAATATTATCACAATTGGTAACCTTTCACAATTATAAATTATTTTTAAGTTCTAATTTCTCAATTTAAGATTTAACGGGAAATAACTGGTTGTATGGTACTTTTAGGAAGATCTTATTGGCTATACGTGTGCCGATTTTGTTCCAGTTGCTCTGTGCAAAAGGTAGCATTTCGCGGTAGAGCAGTCTCCAATTTTCATTTGTAATGCGTATGGCGAGATCAGCTGAAATCAAGAAATTAATGAGAAACGTTTATTGATATTTTGCGTAAACCTGGTTGTCTGTGTCGGTTGCACTATAGCTTTTATAATTTTTTTAGGAATAACTGCGAATTTTATTACGATAACTTTAATATGACTTACTCAATTCCTTGCTATCGGGATTTTCGTTGGTCATATGCGTTACCATGTTGCCAACATCGGGTCGCATGTAGAATGATGTTATTCTAACATAAGTTTCTCCGTCAATTTGTTCAGGGGTGCCATCCAATTTCCACGTGTAAGTCAAGTCACCTGATACAATAGATCAAAAACATTGCTCAAAATGTATTGTGTGTAATTTAAGAAAGTCAGAAATTATTTTACAATCTTTATTCATAAGAAAATAACTACATATCTTTAATTTAAAATAAATTAAGATTAGGAGAATTTTATTAATACTTTCTCTTAATTAAAATTATCATATTAAAGGCTAGAGCTATTAGTACTTAGGTCATAAAAGCTTTATAAGTATATGGTTCGCTTATGTGTAACTAAAAAAATATAGAGATTACTAACTCATCGTTGTGTTGAAATCGCCGGAAGCGTTGACACGTAGAACGTTGTAGCTTCCGCTACCACTAAAACGGCCCTTGCAAAATATTTGAGGGCTAAACATATCGATTTCCATATGAAAACTGTCATCTTCGGCGCGCAGCCTGTAAGTAAAGAAACAATGTCACCTTAACTTAGCTGTTACTTATGAAAACAATAAAAAACTATTTAATTAATTAATTAAATAAATAAAAAAATAACTACGTAATTTTTAACTAAATAATTTTAGCTAAATATTTCCTGATTACTTCTAAAAAAATATATGAGTAATGAAACTTTATAAATAGAACAAACTCTTGTCGCTGGGCACAGATCATCACAAACACTCGATTCTGTCATACTGGCTATCGCCTCTATAGACTTTATAATCGTCTACGATTGGTCTTTCAAAACTTTATTCACTTCAATAGAGATCGATCTGGTTATTCGAAGCAAATGTAGCTATACACTTGCATTATTGCTATAAAGGTATTATAATCAATTAATACGAACCTCACATCTTTGACCGTGGATTCTGTGACGCCTTCAACGTATGTGTCGGACACTAAAACCTTACCCGAGATCTGTTGATTATGAAAATTATAATACATAAAGTTATACCACTGATAAAATTGATTCAATTAAGAATAATATCGGCAAGGAAATTATCATAAATTATCAATCTATACATATTAATAAAGTTAGAGTGTATTGAATAAAATACAACAAAAGTGGTCATTTTGACCTTTCTAAATTAAAATAATCAATGTAATATAAACGTGTTCCTAGTTTAATTGTTTTATTCTTGTATAATTTCAGAAGCGTGATACATGTTGAGAAGCCTTGACTTTTTGTAATTAAAAGGCCTTTTCCTACATGAAAGACGTAACACAACGCAATTCGATGATACGAGACTTGATGTGATCTCATCATATCATAGTTGCTTTATTTATATTCAACTAGCTGTTACCCGCGACTTTGGCCGTGCGGGCTTTAATAAGCCTATGTGTTCTTCCAGGATATGGTCTACATCTATGCAAAATTCAGCGTGATCCCGTTCTAGAGATACCTTGTTACAAACATCCAACCATCCACGTTTGCATTTATAATATTAGTACGATTTAAGAGTATGTATAATAATAGTAAAATAAAAGAGTTTTACTATTTTACTCATAAATATTTAAATTGCTTTATCATACAATAAAAAGATATGCAAAATTATGACCTCTAAAAAGGTCTGCTTTGTTTTCTGGTTTGGTATTAATGTTTTATACTCTAACTTTTTATCTTTATACGCAATCAGTACAAAAAAGTGTTATTATTTAAATTAACAATGTACAATTATATTTATATTAACATTAACTTAATTGGTATGCGAAAAAATCTACATTTTTCCTTCACGTTCCAACATCTTGTATTAAGGATGACGATGCATTACCTGGTTAGATTATAGATTATGATAAAAGTAATGACCCTAACTGCGCATGCGCACGTATATGTTCATCTAACAATTTAATTATAACTTGCCATCCTTTCATCAAAACATTAGCCTTGACAAATAATAGCTTAGAAAATTGCTTCAGCAATTATCAATTTTAATTTTATTGTGGTTTATACTGGTAACTTTAAAAAACACAAATAAAGTATGTGTTTAAGTCTTACGAAATCGTTCTTTAAAATCATCTCAAGTCTGAAGCTCTGCCACAATACGGTCTTCAGAAATTCTTCAATATTTTTAATACATCAATATTTATGTACCAAATACGGGTAATGTCATAATGATCAATGGTTATCATTGTTCTGTACAAATGAAAAAATGTTTATAATTATACACAACAAAGATTTTTGTAAATAAAATATCAAATGTTTCCAATAACTTTCTAGAAAAGACAATAGCGTTAAGAAATTTATTTGTATAGCATATCTGTTTACAAATATCTATATTAACTACAATAACTTTTTTAAAATCGTGCAAAAGCGAGTTATTTTAGTGGAATTATCACTTGCCTGATTATTAGTGTATTCCATTTTCAATTCTTTTTGATGATATGGATCAATAGCTGGCACACCTAAATCCTTGATTCCACTCTTCATAGCTACAATACCCTTTTTAACGGCATCTATTAGACAATCGTTGACATCGGGTGAAGTTCTATCGCAAACTGGCACATATTGCGCTGAAAAGAAGAAAAAATGGAATGTTACTTTATCGTTGTTAATTCATATATGTCTCTAACGAGTGGCTTAAGCGTACCCTAAGTTAAGGAAGACTAGGGCTTAGTTAAACAGTTAGGGATTGGTTGACTAAATACAACACAATCCCATCGAGTACGGAAATTAAAACTTTACAAACTTTAAGTTTTAATAATTGTTCTATGACTCGGAACAGAAAACGTATAATTTAAGATAATAAACGGTATAATAAAATTTATAGTTTCAATTATAGTTTCCAGACATAATAGTAATAAATGTGAAGTTATTTTATGATTATTTATAAGAATTGAATAGTTATTGCATCGTAAAAAATACATTCAATATTTAACCAATAGGTTATAATAATATACCTAATAATGTATTTGTTCACATCAATAGGAATATTGAATAGAAAATCAATCATTGTTTTCAATGGTAACTACAAACTTCTTCAAGATTAATTTATTTTCACACATTTTTCTCACCTTGCTTTTTAGCACCAAAACAATTCATATTGGCTAATCTAGCTAGGTATATTTTATTTATATAACTAGTTTGTTCCTTTCGACATATTACAGTAGTATCTACTCATCTATACTATGACTCTTAAATACAATAATTTAGTAATCTATGTGGAGTTGTGATAAAAATTGAAATAGACAATTTAATTTTAAACCAAACAAAAGATGGGTTGTCAAGCGCTTTGTTAAACTTTTCAATGAATAGGATATAATTAGAACACAACAAGAAGGAAAGAGTACATTTTGGCTATAAACTATTGACTAAAAATGGCAAACTGGACAACCATTAAAACAAAGTCAAGGAATTATTATTGCTTGTTGTAGCTAATCCTAGCAGGTCAAGTTTAATCTAGTGTCAAGTCCAATTAAACGGAAATAAGGAAAAGTAGGTTAAGGTTAACATGATTTTTATATTATCCAAGAACTTTTCTTCAAAGAGAATATAAAATACATATTATCCTTACCATTATGTACAGTTGGCTGGGACAAGTTATTTTTTATGCGCAAAAAATACAGACAAATGAATAAAAAATAGAATATTGTCCATGTAATTTTTTATACTTTCGTAATTAATTTGAAAATTCAATTCTTTATTAATTCAATTATAATTAAAATAATAATAATAAACCAATTAAATCAGAAAAAATGTACTCACCGATATCAATAGCTGCAAAACAATTTCCTAAAACTACGAATAAACAAACTACAAATAAGTTCAACATTTTTACGAGATTGGTACAATTTAAAATATATGTAGAAGCGACCGGTGCGTCGCAATGTCTTTGGATATATTGCAAGAGGCGCTCGGTCTGCGGAGGTGTGGGAGCGACGTAGCTGATATTGCACAAACACCTCGCTCTCAATGTCATCCACTGGTTATATGGAATACTCAGGCCCATTATCTTTATTATTTTAAATATGTAAACAATCTTTTTTTTGACCTCACATTTAGTATTGTCTTAATTTTCTACAGAACACTTAAAAACACATTTTCTTTATAAGCGTTAACTAATTTAACGTTTTTGTTACGTCCATCATAATGTAGAAGCCTTGGTTTTTACTGTATTTTAAATAAAAAAAAGTAAAAATAATTTATCTACGATGTAACTAAAAAGAGTCTTTTTTTACATAATTTATAGCTATTTTTAAGTTTGCTGGTTGGATTGAGGTAATGCTTGTTATGTCAAGTTATAAATCCAATTTACATTCACCCCTTTATTCAAAGAAGTATGATTACTCCGGTTGAATCGGTTTAATGCTGCATCAGCTTCTATAGTGCTTTGGTCAAATCAGTCAATCAGACATTGGTTCAAGTACCACACCAATTATACAACATTTCTACCAATAAGATTTATAAAATAATTCTGTCGCTCATTACGTATCTATTATCTATTATCAATTATGTCAGGAAGGTAAAATCCAAACACTATTACTTATTTAAAGTATTAATAAAAAGAATTAAAGACATGACTTTATATGTACTGCAGTATCAATTTTCTTTAAATATCTGCTCATTAGTCAAAATATTTAATATCTATTCTTATATTTATAAGACATTAAAATTTTTAATATGTTACAATAATGTAAGGACGCGTACTAAAATTATACTAAATTGTTATTGTTAAGAATACTCAGTGATAGAGCACGTTGTATAATATATATTCTTATTAAATGCGTATAAGAAAACCTTATTTCATTTTGATTTTTTATTTTTTAATATTATACATTTTTTAATTATAATTCGCATATGTTTTAATCTTAAAATAAAATTCCTATAACTTCTTTTTTTCTTTTATTTAATAAAAACGCCTGTGAAAAAATACTTATTTTAAAAACAAGAAAGAGAAATAAAAGAAATGATAGGCGTCAAATTCGTACAAGAGAAATTATTACTTTATCAAAGTTTTACAAATTATTTCATAAATTATTACACACATCTACATAAATTATACAGTTTAATGAAGAAATATTTAAGAAATATTTAAACTTTACTTTAACTAATAGATGGCGTTGTTAGCATAGTCTTAATACTTTTTAAGTTCAAAGAACTAAAAGTTTACCAATTAAGAATATTTAATACTTACTTTTTAACTATTCATTTTTATAATCCATATACATTTATTTATCACATTTCTAATATAATACATTTCATATATATATATATTCATAATGAAATAGAATAGAATTCATAATAGAAATGTATTATATTAAAAAGAGAACACCACCGGCTGCGGAATCCCATGACTCAAACAACCAGTGGTCAGGGCTGCAGAGACAGGAACCTTCTCACGATGCGCGCGGTTTCTAGGATAACTGCCTTTTGTATCGAGCCCTTAATCCAACTGTTTAGCGAGAGCTTCTTGAGATGTTGGTCGAAGCTCTTCGCTATCAGTCCATTTACCGATACGACTATCGGAATAATGGTAGTCGATTTCATACGCCACATGGCGGTAACTATTCATTTTATTATTATCGCATTTAAAAATGAAACTTTTTTCGAACGATAAACTTTTTTAAGGAATTGTTGTTTACAGTTAATTATTATGCCAACATCCTATTTATTTTATTAAGAGAAAAATATAAAACGCAGTAGAAATTCTCAAACGTTTGCTAAATATACTAAATTGAAACTAACTATGACTATTATTTTACCGTAAGCAGCGCTCTCTGCAAGATTAGTTGAAACAATTAACTTAGCCATATAAGTCGCGGAGCGCACACTCAAATAAAATGACAACAATTTACAAATTAAGATATGCTTATCAACTTGAAACATTTAAATATATGCTGATATATCATATTTGTCTATGTATATAATGGAATGTTGCAACTTCAACTTAACCCACTTCAAGATCACGCACTTCTACATTTGACCAGCGTTTTTAACTTAGTTAAACTTTTATTTATTTTTTATCTTACATGTTGTTGAAGTAGATTTGGTAAAAATATTCAATCTGTGGAACAGTTATGATGATATTAATAACAATGGTAGATAAAAAGGTGCAACTAATGAAACAATATGTTACCATAGTTTCAAGTCACAAAAACTGGTTAAGAAGGCGTAGACAAACTTAGAAACATTGCTTTTTGTTTCACTATGTAGATACATATTAAAGCAATTCGGTTATTACTCTCTATAGTACAAGTAAAACTTGTATTTTCTATTGAAGCGGTTCAAATGATCATTAGTTCGACATAACGGGACGTTGGAAGATGAAGATTAATTATCATAACGCGCGTTGAAATCTAATATATGGGTATTCGCGGGGGATGCAAGTCGTGACTCGTAGTGGACTTTTTATGAACATTAATTTAATAAAAATAGACAAATAAGACAATTGTAATTTATTGGGTCACGAAGATGGTATTCATTTGTCATCTCAGAATAGCATCATACAATAGCTTTGTATGGTCTTGATATTAAGCACAAACTATCTGACTATGCCTTTATCTGGACCTATAGACAATATAGACTTACAGTTTGATCGATGGTAGATAATCTGTATCGTATAGTCATAAAGAAAAGCGGAAAGACATTACAACTCTATCCGTCTTAGGAGTCTTGAATGGCGTTCTTTTTGGCTATTAATTAATTTTCATAATAATAATTGTACAAAAAATTGGCTGATGAAAATTATCGCTTAATAATTTGGTAAAAACATTTGACATCTTATCTCAAAGTTTATAATTAAAATGCTTTAGATTGATCGCTATTAACATACCAATTTATAATTAGAGTGATGACAGACATGAGAGACAGAGATGAGAGACATAATTAAATCAATATCATTTATGAATTTAAATAATTAATTTAATTATTGACAAGTTATCAACCTGTCAATATACATAATTATTGTTAACCAAAATTATGTTCGATTAATAATGTGTGTAATGAAAGAATAGATATTTGAGAATTGAGAAAACAAACATAAATTTGAACCAAAATTTTAAAAGTTGTGTCTATCAAATTCTTTATATTCTATTTAACATTTACACTTAAGCTATTTATTGGTAGTATAGAACTAAGAGGCTTTGTACGATTTTAACCTAATACTTCAACTTTGATTTGGAATGATTTTCTTCCAGTTCCATTAATCATAGCGTCGTATTATAAGCTGCGTTAACTATTAAGATTAATGAGTGTATTTACTTCGTAAGGTCAATGGACTTCGCTCTGCGGTTTCGTATTCAGTTTGACTGTGATTACGGTACTCTATCAAACGCATTCGTATCTCCTGCGACCGCAACTACCCAATAAAACTAAAACATGCAAACTAAAGGGATGACTGGAAATATTGAGTTTAAGGAAAAAACAACTGATAAGCTACAATAATTTGCTCAAAGGAAATAATACCCTTTATTTTGTTTTATCACAAGATTCTTAGTAAAACGTATCGATTTTATATATAAACAAACACATGGTACTACTATGTTTGGTATGGTTAATAATCGTCAAAGGAATGATCTTTTAAACCAGGTAAGGGAGCTCTAGCTTAAAATCTTTCAGGATCGAATCAAAGCATTTCAGAGTTATTTTTTGCGTTGGGAGTTAGTTCTGCGCTCATTCGCAGTTTGGTGTACAAGCCCTTGTAGGCATCCATTTCGAAGTGACAAGCGTGATGTTTGTCAAATCGATAATTACATGTTATATTATGATAAGAGGTTACGGATAATTCTTGTCAAAAATTTAAAATTTGTAAAAGTGAAGTACGTATAAAGACCGAGGTGGAAAAAGTTGCTGGACCAAGCCAAGGCCCACAAAGGGCTGTAGAGCTAGCAGAAGAAGAAGAAGTACGTAATAATAAGATTTTAAATTCTAAATGTTAATTAAAACATTTTAGATTTCTCTTGCACAACAGTATATGAGATTTATAAGTTTTAATGCCTTTCAACTTAGCTTCCTGCTGAACTTATCGCAAAGGTTCGGCAAAATTACATAGCTGATTTATAATCATGTTCATCGATATGTCGGGAATAAATATCAGGCAAATCTAAATCATTCTTAGAAGCCATTAACTTTTATAAAAAAAAAACATTGAGTGCGTGACATTTTTTATTTGCCTCACTGGCATTAAGGCGTAGCATGCTTGGAAGTTTTTATACTTAACTTGTTATATTGGATTCTGTTATTAAGTCTGACGACAACAGCAGGTTTCCTGCGACGCACACCCTCACTACTGCAGTTATTTAAGACCTTTATACCAAACTTTTAACTTTTCGCAAGTGCGTTACTCGGATAGAGTTAATATAAACATTCTTCTTATTTTTTAAATATATGAACTGTCTATTATATTCTTAATTTATTATTGAGTTGTCATTCTGTCACACGAGCTAATGGGAATCTCATTCAATCATTTCATAAAGGTAGGATATACTATGGATTATTAACAGTCAAATGTCGAATGCAATTGACAAGTAACATTAGTAATAATACATTTAAAAATAATAATTTACGTACGAATTTAATTTCCGAATTAGTACAAGTAATGTTAACAGTTATGGTTCTAGTCACATTAACAAATATCAAGTTTGACGAGTAATTCAACGCCGATCAAATATTTGGCTTTAGCTTTTTAATTACATTAGTGACATTCATTTAATATGTTCATATCCATTCACTTATGCAACACTTTCAATATTAATGTAAAGTGATTACCAGCGTCGATAAGAAGATTTAGACTGAAATCTGAATAGCGAATGTTTGTTAGAAGGTATCTCCAGAACGGCTACCTTGATCTCCCTAAAATTTTGCATAGATGTAGAACATAGTTTGGAAGAGCACAGAGGCTACAAATTAAGATTTTTTTTATTTCGCGCGGACGGTGTCTCAGGCGACAGCATGTATTTAAATATTTGGGAAGGAATTTATGATAAGAAATTTACATTGTTTATTACTAGGGCCTTAAACCAGTAC